TGTGAGAGGAACAGCTAAAAATTGCTCGAGAATGTTTTAATTGTATGCATTTGTCAAAACACAAGTAGTCCCTTATCAAATCATTATATCATACTACAGCAAATCTTTATGAGATAATCAGACTAAACATTAAATGTATATGACAGTTTTTTTGTTTGTTTGTTTGTCTTTTTCTACACACAATGCTGAGGTAGACTGTCCCTATGTTGATTCAGTGTCACCAAGTGTTTGCTCACAGGCGGTCACCTGATTGTTGCGGTTTTCTCTATATTATTGTAGGGTCATTATTTAAAGTCCATTGAGGTGACTGTTTTTCTGTGATTTGGTGCTATATAAATAAAACTGAATTGAATGTACTTTTTTCTGTCAGGGGGAAATGCCTCCAGCGTAGAGCTGCAAGATGACCAACAGACACTCAATGAGACTATTACCAGAGGTAATGAAAAAAAACTTCAAAACCTATTTTAAAAAAACAAAAATATGCAGCACCTGGAACACAAAAATGTGAAAATGGACAGGTACATAAATCAACAATCTTTATGTGGTGTGCGTGCGTTCATGTTAATGTGTGTGTGTGTGTGTGTGAGAGAGAGAGAGAGAGAGAGATGGAGAGAGTAACAAGTGGGGAGTGTGTATGTGTGTGTGTGTGTCACAAAATGTACTTGAAAATAAAGGTGGGAATCCAAAATAATGGCTCCCAGGAGCCAGAGGCAGACAGAGATTGATCAAGGGGAACTGGATCATCTGCAGTCCACAAGAGTACTGAAAACCTCACCTTTAATGGCAGATAAGTTAGATAGTTACAGTTAGGTGGTCCATTTCCTAGTCTGGCTCTGCTTGCTGGACATCCCGAATGAGTGACTTAATCTCCCGGGTGAGGGATCGGATTACACATGAAGGAAGCAAAATGGTCTCTTCCTTCACAGACTCATCGGAAGAAAATTTTCAAGACAAAGTATTAGGCTTCACATTGAGAGAACCTGGTTTATAGGTTATTAAAACCTATAAAACCTGCTATCTAAAACCTGCAGGACACCGGCAGGTTTTAGATATCACCCTGGGTCAACACACCTGAATCAAATGATTAGTTCATTACCTCTCTGGAGAACTTCAAGACATGTTGAAGAGGTAATTTAGCCATTTGAATCAGCTGTGTTGGATCAAGGACACATCTAAAACCTGCAGGACACCGTCCTTTGAGGCCTGGAGTTGCCAACCCCTGGGTTATGGTAAAGCTAAACTGAGTAAAAAATGAGAGCCCAGGATGGTTCCTCAGGATGAACCAGGATCATAGTAGAAGCGAAGCATTGTTTCAGGGCGTCGAACCTTTGTCAAAACGAGTTATCCCAGTGAAAGGCAACCTTGAGGAGCTAAGTGGGTGAACAGCAAGGCAATCTCGCAAAAATCCAAATACTCACCAATAATAAGTCGTTGGTAAAAAGGAGCAAAGCCAAAAAAGTGTTGAAGTTGTTTGCTTTTGGGAGGAACTCACTCAACCAATGGTTGGACCTTGGCTGGCTCTGCCCTTAATTGACCCTTCTTATTCATGAAACCCACAAAGGAAAACAGATTGGACATGAAACTTGCACTTCTTACTAGAGATGGACCGATACCGATAAGTAATATCGGATCGGTCCAACTCTACTTCTTACATTTTACATATGTCATCATTTATTGTGCCCAGCAGTATCTCTAAAGTTACTGCTGGGCTTAACCTGCTGGCACACGAGGCAGTTCGACAAAACTTCATCTCATTCCACAGTAGAAACACTCATCAGAAGTTAGGTATCTGTGTCTTACCAATGGACAGACGAGCCTAACCGAGCTGCATGGTGGGTTGCTCGCCACTCTCTTCTGACTCACTCTCTCAGGGATGGAAAACTTCACGGAGGACTCCCAAAAAGTTGATTATGTTCATTTGGATGTAGCGTTTTCAAGTTTCATCACTTATCCAAATGACTTCTTTAGTCTCAGCTAAATGCAGTTTTCCTCAACCTTATAAACAGTACATCTGCATAATGACTGAAACTAACACCATGGGCCAACAATGAATTGTGAGGTCAATTTTTTGGTCATTAATATGCAAATGTTCATGACATTGATCAACAACCACTGATCAAAGACAATTGATCAGTACCGTTCACAGACTTGATAAATGGCTGCAATAACAGCATTGTAAGATGGTGAAAGATGTACCCTTATGCCTCCTCTTCGATTCAGAGATGGTCTTTCCCTTTTTACAGAAAGCCTCCTTGAATCCTGGGCTGAACTCACTTTATTAGCTGATAAGACGCTGTGTTAGGGTTGGATCCTTTGTCGAAAACATGTCTTGGTCTTAAACTTGATAAACTCCTCAAAAGACTGTTCAAGGTTAGCTTTTAACACTACAAAACCTAACACCTGTGCCCACTTCAAAGCTCATCCTTATAACACAATCATAAAAGTTTTCTAAGGTGCTTGGAAAGAAAAGCTACTGAAATTCTGTAAGATTCTTGAAGGTGGTTCACCTTTCATCCGAGAAGCTTCTTTAATTCTCAAACCAAATGGTGGAGAGTCCCAGGTCTGTTGTGGGAGTTCTCCCTTAAGATCATTTAGCCATTATTGATCACGCGTCTCATTACATGAGCCAAGGTGTGAAAAAGGAAAATGAGTAAAGTCAAGGGTTGAAGTGAGATCTGGCATGCGGGGAAAACCTTAAGGCCATGTCCATCTTTTTCTCTCTTTTTTGGCTTTCCTTCCTCGCTGAGACGGCGTTTTTGTTAAGGAAAACGCTCTCCAAAGCGTATACATTTGAAAATGCCATAGGGTGGGCATGATTAAATTATGGTTGCCGGCTGTGACAACCAGCCTCTCCTGACACTACACCCTGCCACAGTGACCGACAGTACTGAGAATCACTTTAATAAAAATTAAAGCTCAGTATTATACAGACACAAAAACATTCTCCATAATATATTCATATCCATATATACCATAATATCCGAATCATAACTCACACATGCAAAATCAATAAAAAAAAAAAAAATCATGATTAATGAAAAAATGTTTTAGGAAGTTATTTGCTCTTGGCTGCCGTACGTTGGTGCTTAGTCAACTTAAGCTTTGTGACGTCTCTGATCCCAACCGTAAAAAAAATGACTTGCTTCCCTTCTTATTTTCCAGTTTGTACATTCCTGATTCCTCTTCAACTCCTCTCCTCACATCTCAAGTCCTTGTATACAAAATAAAAATGAGGCTCTGAAGCAAGCATTTCTAATTCTGTTAAAGTGATGTTGGTTAATTAATTGACAATTGGCACAACTTGCACTGAGCACATGTCATAGATGTAAAGAGTCAGGAGGCCTTCATTTGACCATTGGAATCACTCAAGGAGTTCATGTAATGTGCATGAAGTCTCTTCCTGACAGTTCAGAAACACATGCACATGATGCTGTAGCCTGCTGGAGGTAATTTTGTAGGTTTTTTTTTTAGGGCTGTTCCTGGTTGTATTTGAAATAGATTCACAATGGTTATGCCTCCTAACCATATAGACTGAGATCCCTGAATTTCAAAAAAATGTTGTTTTATACTGTGGCATGTGAAACCCCCAGCAGCATAGACTTATAGCAGCATAACGTTGGAAGGACTTAGGGTCACCTAATCCAGAAAGGATGTTTATGAGCGTTTCTTTCTTTATTATATGTTTATACACCGCTGTGCATTTATTGATGGCAGTGTGTCTTTTGTCGTGTCTTCCTTCCGTCACCCCTAACCTGTTGTGACAGGGAAAAGGGAATGTCCACACACATGTTCCACTTCTCCGAAACCACTCTCCTCTTCAGTCACTCATGTCTCCGCACGCTTTGCCACTCAGTTGCTCCTGGGAACAGTCACACAGGGTTACAGGAGCAGGTCCAGGGAAAATCTATTTACAAAGAAACATGATCAGAAACTGACTTGTAAACACACAGTTTTAGATACTGCTTGACCAGGTAGACTAACGTAGGCTACTCAACAATCCAGCGACGAGTAGGACAGAACGGCCATTCTAAATAGTGCTCAGGATTGCAGGAGATCAGTGGCAGGTGTGATGATTAGCACAGGTGCGTGGGCCAGAGGCAAGAGCAGAGACAGAGGAGAGAGAGCGAGGGAGGGAGAGAGAGCACAAAACAAAACAAAAATAAACATGTTGCCTAACACCGAACCAGCCAGTGAGACACGGGGGCCATGACAGAAAAGGAATTTTTCCTTACCACTGCTGCCTTACCAAGTGCTTGCTCAAAGGCAGTCATCTGATTGTTGGGGTTTTCTCTATATTATTGTGGTGTCAATACCTTACAACATAAAATACATTGAGGTGACTGTTGTGATTTGGTGCTGCATAAATAAAATTGAACTGAATGTACTTTTTTCTGCTAGGGGGAAATGCCTCCAGCATAGAGCTTGAAGATAACCAACAGATGTTCAATGAGACCTTTACCAGAGGTAATGAACAAACACTTCAACAGTTCACAGAAATTCAGTTTATACATTTTAAAATGTTTTTTTCTGCCACTGTATTGTTTAATCAAGTCTTAAAATCTAAGAAACTGAAGTGCTTTAAATAAAATTCTGCAAAAAAAATTTGGGGGCTACAATTTATCAATATTTGTAATGAAGGGGAATTGTGAGATGAGTTAATGGGATATTATGAGAAGATAGTTGCATAAAATTATAGCTATATTGATGAGCAGGGTTTTGTCAAGGTGCAGCTTGGAAAAAGCAGGACTCAGGCACAGAATCTCTAAATGTAACAGTGAAATTTACTGTTTAATTTACTGTGAAATATTGCAACAACAGTTCAACACTAAGTCCTTTATAGAAATGACCACGGTTCAGTTTTTTTTTCTTTTTAAGACAAGAGAGTTGCAAGAGCTTGGCCGCATACCGGCATAAGTGGGACTCGTTCCTGGTGGTGATGGGCTCCGCCAGGGCTGCCTTTGTCACCGATTCTGTTCATAATTTTTATGGATTATGATGCGCTTAAGATGAGCATGAAAGTTAGCGTTTTTATACCATTTTTATATTCATTGACAATGTGTCTTTATATCATTTCAGAAAATAAAGAGAATAGTCCTAAAAGCTGCAGATATGTTGACATTATTAACCACCTGAACTTGACCCAAGACAAGGATATGTACATTATGACAAGGCCTGTGAAAAATTACAGTGATGTTACACGCGTATACCATATTATGGGAGTTAAAGCCATCTTAGATGTGGTAAGTTGTTCTGGCTAATGTTGCTGCCTTTCAAATAATGAATAGGTCATTTTAG